ATAAGTTAGTATTTTGATTCATGTTATAATAACTAACTCATTTTTCAGTTATAAGTAAAAATATACAATTGACTCAAATATATTTAAAAATAAAACTTTATCAAAAGTAAACTTTGCGGAATATGCTATAGCAACTCAACTTTGTTTCAAAATGTTGGGGTCAAGACTAGGTCCCATGCTACATGTAAGGAGTTATATACACGTTCTAATGTTGATATGTTGCATTCATTAGTTCACATTCCAATTTTCGGAGCTTGACTAACTACGATAGGCCAAATTAATGCAACTCACAAGAAACTTCTTGGTATCTAAATCCTATAATTCGAAGACGTTTTGAATAGGTCAACAACGAACATCACAAAAAAATTTATATTTATATCATCCCTTGTTTGCAATATTTTGTTTGACGGATTTTTTACTTTTTGCAGAAAAGTTTTCTGAAGAAGTTATCTATATCGACTTCCTTTTCTAATACACCAAAGTACTTCCAGAAATTATCAAAATATGTTCAAAAGCAGTTTTTAACTTTTTAAAAACTGTCATACGACACTTAACTTGTTTTGAATACGTTTTTCTGAATGCAACTCTTTTTGTTTGTGAAAGTGCATATATAAAACTAAATGAAAAATGGTGATGAATTTAGTACATGTTTGGCCCTAATTTTTAAATTTTTTTCTTCAAACTCATTCTTAATCTCATTTTATGAAATTCACACATTTTATCAACTTTTAGATCATACATTTCATCAACTTTTATTAAAATTTACCAAACCAAACAGAGGCTAAGTAAAACTATGCGTATATAAATGAATATGAATTTATACTTATTTTTTAAGTTACATATCATTTCATTAAATACAATTTTATTATTATTATTATTATTATTATTATTATTATTATTATTATTATAGTAGTTGTTGTTGTATTTTGATAAATTGAATTACTTTTTAACAAAGTAAGCTCATGTTTGACCCCATTTTCTACGGAAAAGTGTGTTTAAAATTTTTTTTTTATTTTTATTTTTGGTAAATATGTGATTAAAAATAAGAAAATATTTTGAATTTATGCGTAAAGTTATTTTCTGAAAAAATATGCGATTGAATATGAATTTCGGAAAAAAATAATTTTTGAAAAAATTGAGCACAAATAGGGGCTAAATCTTTTGAAATCAACATTCAACCCTTATGGGCATCCTGGCTCACGGGGGACAAAATATATTTCTCTCCGCAAAAATGATACAAGATTAAAGGTTGACTTATTGAATTAATGTCTTAGGACTTCAAGTTATTTGTTTGCAACTTTAATTAACCTAAAATTGCACCTATGAACTATGTCACCGACCTAACTCAGTATCACTTATTGCTATATATATAGAACTATCAACCCTATTGACTATTAAAAAATATGTATATAATCGTGCCTTGGTTTATTTGGTTTTGATATTTGCTAGGCCATTCGATATGCATTTGAAAGTTTTAATACAAAAGCGCGATTATTCATCAATTCAACAATAAATATGAATTAAATTTTTGAAAAAATTAAGATAATATATGAGAATTTCACAATGAGTTTTTTATTTTAACTTTATCTTTCAAATAATCCATTTAGCAGGGTTTTTGAAAAGTTAAAAGCTGCTTTTATGAATTTACTTTTGAACATGTTTAGATAATTTTTTAAAAGTATTTTATTTGGCTATAAGAGTTTTCAGAGTAAGTTAATCTAAAATGACTATTAAAAAAATATGTATATAATCGTGCCTTAGTTTATTTGGTTTAGATATTTGCTAGGTCATTCGATAAGCATTTAAAAGTTTTAATACAAAGTGTGATTATTCATCAATTCAACAATAAATATAAAATTCAACTTAATTTTTTGAAAAATTATAATATATGAGAACTTCACAATGAGTTTTCTATTTTAACTTTATTTTTCTAAGAATCTATTTAGAAGGGCTTTTGAAAATCCAAAAGTTACTTTCGAGATTATGAATCTGAATTTGAACATATTTAGATAATTTTTTTAATGTATTTTATTTGACTATAAGAATTTTCAGAATAAGTTGATCTAAAGTGATTTTTTCATAAAATTGTTGTTAAGAGTCGAATAAATTATCATATCCTCATAAATCCACCATTGAAAATGAATAATCAATCAATAATTAATTTTAATTACATATTCCACGGAACCCATAACTATTATCAATTTTTCAATCACACGTATATCAACATTTATCAAAAAAAAAAAAAAAATCATATTCAAATTTACCATGTAGATATCAACATCAATGGTAAAGATTAACATTTTAATATATAACCACTTAAAATTGAAATTCTATTTTAAATCAAGTTGGCATAATAAAGTCAAATATAAGCCAATCAATTCGACTTGGTCCAACATGCATATCCATGATGGCGACACAAATCTATATCAATAGGGTGAGAGTTCACGTTAAAGGAGAAAAAGGGGTGGAAGCCAAGTTGGTTAGTCCATTGGCAGGGGCAGTTTAGTCTTTTCGCTTCTTTATTTTGCATTATCAAGAACGTTGCCACTTGATTTTAGCATGCTGAGAAAACTTTTTCTTTACATGAAATGACTTGGACGACCCCACTAAGTTGAACTTGAAATTTTGAAATTTAAATATTAATTTATTTGAAAGTGATATTGAAAGGATAAGTTAAAAGAATTTTTATAATTTACTTATAATTTAAAAATGCTAAAAACATTACGTGAGATTTGACAGCAACTACATTCTTTAGCCTTTGCTTGATATCCAAATTCTTTTTTTGACGCATTCCTTCTCAATCGTACATTCACATAATAAAATATTTTATACGTAAATTTAAAATTTTTTATCTACTTTTAATCACACATTATCCTAAAAATCACTATTTAAAACATTATTTTTCTCAAATAATGACCACCAAACGGGTTTAATAAATAATTTTGAGATCCCACAACGGTTTTCAATTTTTAATATGATAGTTGGATGAAGGCATCATCATATTAATTATATACAATCCATTTTATTAAACGTGTCAAAATTTTAGTAAATTTTGATAGATATTGATAGAATGTGTAGTCGAAAGGTTGTCAGTCTCATGAAATTTGCGATTAAATTAATTATATACTTTTACTTCAATTTTATTCAATTTTTTAGCCGAATCAAACAGTGACTAAAAGTGCGTTTGAGACATGAAATTGCACAAGATTGAACACAATTCAAGAACAAAAATAAGTGATTTCGATTGTTAGCTGCCAGATTCAAATTCAAATTTCCATATAAATATACTATAATATAATATATTTACACTTGAAAACAATAATAATAATAATAATTAAATTAAAGAAACTTTGAAATAATAAAAATTATTGTACTCCAATTGAACGAGTGGCTTGTATCTTAAGCAAATGCAACTTAATATTCAAATATAAAAAGATGCAAATGGACTAAGAATATTCGAGAAACAAGAATGCTTATTCCTACGATGAGGACTATTTTACTTGAAGGAAATGTTTAAAAAAATTAAAAAAAAATAAATAAGCAAATGCAACTTAATATTCAAATATAAAAAGATGCAAATGGACTAAGAATATTCGAGAAACAAGAATGCTTATTCCTACGATGAGGACTATTTTACTTGAAGGAAATGTTTAAAAAAATTAATAAATAAATAATAATAATAATAATAATAATAATAATAATAATAATTTTTAGGAACTTTTTAATAGGAATAGGGGTGGGATCACGAAATGTGTGGACAATAATGAGTAATAATTTTGAACGCATAGTTGAAATTCAAATTTGATGAATAATCGAAGTAACTTTTAATTTTCTACAAATATTTCCCAAACATAGGATTTTTCTCTAAAATTAGACTATTTCTCGATTTTGTCCATATTATTGTCAACAAGTCGTTAAGAATCGATTGTAGATAACACTACGCAACAAGAAAAATCAAAGATTATATATTGTATAATTTATAATTACACGAAATCAAAGAAAAATTTCAAAACCCAAAGCCATATTTGAAAACAATTGAAAGCTTTCAACCTTTTATCCTAGAATAGATTTTTTTCTAGTGAAGGTCAAAAGATTATATCGTGGATGCATTTCGTAATATTCATAACAACTACGAGGAAATTATGGATTTTCTTGAATATAAGGTATGGTTATAGATTTAATGTTCTCCTTTAAGTAGCCATTTTGAAAGTGATCAAGAGACGATTGCTGACTAGAAATATCTAGATAAGTTTTTTATTTTTACTCACACTAGGTTTCACGATTATTATTATTAATAAAATTAAAGGGTTAAATCCACAAATGGTCACATAATTTTATACTTAGTGTCATATTGACCACCAAATTTGATTTTGTTATACTATAACCATCCAACTTCATACTTAGTGTTACATTAGCCACCAAATTTAATTGTGTTAAATAAAATTATCAGGTGGCTTGAAAATAAATATAAAGTTGGGTGTTTGCGATAAAACAAAATCAAATTGGGTGGCTAATATTACACTAAGTATGAAGTTGACTGTTCATAGTGAAACAAAAAGTAGGCGATCAATGTGATACCAAATATGAAATTGGGTGGTCAATGATGAGTTTAACCTTAAAATTAAACCATCTAGAGTGATTTTAAAGCCTTCAATCTTTTATCACACAATATAGGGAAGGTAGGATAAAGGGCAAAAAAATAAAAAATAAAAAAATCACATTATTTTAAATTTTTAATAATCATAAAACATTAGGGTTTTTTAGTAAATAAACATGAAGCAACTAGTTCACCTTCACATGAATCTGCATATCATATTGTCCACTTGAAAGAAGAGACTCATAATCCAATCCACCTCCCTTCAACAGTTGGAAAACTCAACCCTCCTCTTCAGTCAGCAGCCGGATTATACATACACAAATAGATACAACCCCTACGCGTCTTCAAATAACTCTCTCTAGATTGTCAAGAAAAAAAATATAAAGCGAAACCCTTGAATAAAATGCCTTCGGATCACCCAAAATCATCTGTTTTAATTCACAGGATGAACACCACCGCCACAGACTCCACCGCCGCCGCTACATGGAATAACCAAGTCCAGCAGAGTCCCACCGCAGCCGTGCAGTGGCAGACTCCACTTCCTTGCAGCTCCCAAGTCCCGGACCATGTCGCTTGCTACCACACATACGCCGTAGGCCAAAACCAGTGCTGCTCCGCCGTGATCCGGCAAATAAATGCTCCCGTCGAAACCGTGTGGTCCTTCGTCCGCCGCTTCGACAACCCGCAGGCCTACAAGCACTTTGTCAAGCGCTGCAACGTAATCCTCGGAAACGGTGAAGTCGGCACCCTCCGTGAAATCCACGTCATATCCGGCATCCCAGCCGTGAACAGCACCGAGCGCCTTGAGATCCTCGACGACGAACACCATGTTATCAGCTTCAGCGTCGTTGGTGGTGACCACCGCCTGGCTAACTACCGCTCCGTCACCACCCTCCACCAGGAGGCAGATGACGACAACAAGACAATCGTCGTGGAATCCTACGTTGTTGACATACCTCAAGGTAACACTAACGAGGAAACTGGCGTTTTCGTGGACACCATTGTTAAATGTAACCTTCAGTCACTTGCACAGATCGCAGAGAATTTATCCCGACAAAATGTTTCTGTCGAAAAATATTCCCAGTCAGTTTAATTTGTATCCAAACTTGTTCATCAACCTATTCGACTCTCCTTTTTTTCCTAGATTCCGACTTCACAATCGTCGCACACACACGCACACATAGACATGTATTATGATTGGATTTACAAACTGCAAATTGCGAATTGCTGATATCAGATTTATCTGCCATTCAGCAATACATTCTGTATCAGTAAAAAATCCCAAGTAGTCTTGTTTGTGACATGTAACATACAATCTGATGTTTTGTTTTCATGTATAATTAATATTTGCATTTTTGGAGGTTGTTCAATTGTTTTCATACTTTTTTTCTTTTAAATTTTTTCTTCTTTTTTGAACTCATAGCACATTCTTTGGATGTATATCAGAGAACGAATAAATAGACTGGACAAATTTTGATATAATTTACAAGTGAAATGGCCAGCCTTTCGATGTGCAAGTGGTTAAGGCGGCTGCAATGCTGCTAATTGCTAGCTAAGCTTGGAATATACATGGGTTTAATTTAATTAAATTGAAACATCCTCGTACAATGGCAAGGAATGATGAAAATATTGGATTTTTTGCACTTCAATTTTTGCAGTGCATGTGTTTATAATGTTAGCATTGCAAACTCGAACATAAATTAATAAGGATTAGGGTGAAAATTATATTCGAAAGAAAAATTTAAATACTAGGCAAAAATTCTTGAGATTATCATTTTAGTTCAATCAGGTATTAGTATACTAAACACGAAGAAAACTTAGTACCCCGTTTGATACGTTACTACCAGGAATTAGTAATGTGTCAGGAGTAATTAGGACAAGAAATCGTGAAATCGTTCATACATTCGAAGTAACCAATCAATAATTAATGAATCTTTTATTAAAATTTACTGAAAAACCGATTTTAACTAAAAATAGGGGATTAAAACGGTGATAGATTTACTTGTTTATTTATTTATTTATTTATTTTTGCTAAAAAAGTATTTATTTTCTTTTTTTTTAAGTGTGAAGAAAATGTACAACCTAGAAATTTCCAATATAGAGAGAACTAACAATGTGAATATGGCAATGGGAATCAAGGGCTAACACTGCAACTTGGAGTTTTGGTCAGACCAACTAGCTGTTAAAAACGAATACCAACTTGCAACTTGTTTTTTTATATATTAATAAAATAAAATAATGCAAGTTGGTCATTTATTTGTTTGTTTGTTTGTACTGAGTTTGAAAAATAATAGGACGGTTTTGTTGCAAGTGGGTACTATAATAGCGGCTTTTAATGATCAATGTCTCCACGCTATCTCATTCATTTTTCTTAGTCGACGGTTAGTTAAAAATCAGATTTTAAATAAATTTTAATAAAAATTAATGAAATACGTAATCAAAAAATTCTTGAGTCTCATCAAATGTGTGATTAGAATAATTGTTGATTTTCATTTAAAAAATTTAACGACTTTCTAAGTTGAACCAAACAAATTTAATTAAACTATCAAGTATTTATGGATCCACTAATCTTTCGAAAAACCTCTTTCGATTTTCTCATTTTGTTATTCTTTCTTGAATCTTGACTCCTGGATTTCAGTCCGAGCTGTTCTATTGAGAAAAATCAGTTCAAATACTTTCATAATCGATGACTTTTCTTGATACACAAGTTTGAGAATTTAATCTTCATGTGAGGAATTCCTTCTAGTGCAAGCATTGAAGAAGAGAAGGCATGCATTTATAAGTTGTTTTTTAGCCAAGTAAATGTTATAGGGTTTAACCGTTTCTTGTAAAAGTGTTTCTTGAGAAAATTGAATTTGGTTCTTTCTTAAAAGGCCAACCTTGTTCAGAGGAGTAATCAAATCTTTTATAAGTTGGTCTATATTTTCATCTTTATTTGATGTGGAGTTTTATCTCCTTAACATGCTCCTGCAAGATGGTGGCTCGTTTGAGCAGACCAATCTTAAAATTTGTATGCTAACTTTTGGAGTTTTAACCGGATCGAATTACTCATTAGAGCTTAATGAGCTCTGATACCATATTAAGAATTTGGTTCCATCTCCTCATTGCAGTTCAAAAAAATTGTCCAATGAAACTCCCCAAATTTGACTAATCTGATTTTTTTTTTCTTGAGATTATTGCTAAAGATCGACCTGATCATCTTGGTTTATGTAGAATAAAGCTTTGCCCTTTAGAACTTAGTCATGAAGCAATGATCGATCCAGTGGAAATTGCTCAACTCTAATGGCAGTATGGACCGTAGGTCCCTTGCAACATATCACAATCATTAGACCTAATGTCTTTAATCACCGGTTGCAACTTGCAAGAATGTCACGCCGTGTGTTTCTTGGCTCAAATTTGGTACCCCGTTGATTCTAGGAAGCAACGTTCTAAGTCTAGACTTGTAGTAGAGATTACCTTTGTTAAGGTACGTATTGTTTGGTGCAATGATCAAACCATTTATGAAACTATTCAATTCCATGAAATAATAATACCCTTATTAATTTGGATTTAGGCCCCCTGTTTGGTTCAAATTAAAATCTGATTTTAATCTAAATCAAAGTCAAACAATCAATATTAACCACATCTTTCATGGGTCCCACAACGTTTCAACCACACATTTCAAAAATTTCTATCAAAATCTAATTTTAATCCCTACAGCCATACAACTATAAAAGATATATAATGTAAAAAAATATATATGCTAAAATAGACAAAACCCCTATCAATTAGGCGGTCAGCTTTGTTTCGGAGTAAAATCTGATTTTAATTTAAATCAAAGTCAAACAATGAATATTAATTACATATTTCTTGGGTCCCAGAACTTTTCTACCGCACATTTCAAAAACTTCTATCGAAATCTACTAAAAATCTAATTTTAATTCCTGTCAAACACCCAGAAATACATATATTTATAAATTAATCAAACCGTTTTGGATCTCTTCAATTCCATAGTACATTGTATTGATTGCTCGACTATAAGCATGTTTGGGTAGTGTTTATAAACGGTTTAAATTATAAATAAATAGAATTAAGGAGATAAGTTGATAGTATTTGTGGATCATTCAATATGTGTGGACAAAAAAAAATGACTTGATTTAAATGTCTATAAATAGGAGCCAAGCATATTCTAATGTTGAAAGTGATATTAGCCCATAAAGAGGCGTAACAAATAAACAAGTTGAAAGATTAGAAACTAAAGAAAAGCAAGTTGTCAAGTGTTGGGCCACAAGAGTTTGTAAAGTACACACACACATATATATATATATTATTATTTTTATGTATTTAATAGGAGAGTTAGAATCCGATCGAGGCGGACTGCAATTGTTTCGAAAAATTATATTTTATTAGAATTATTTCTTTACCAACTTAGTGCTTGTTTGATAAAGCCTTGTAAATTTTTTATTAACTTTTCAATTAATTAAACTTTAATTTTAATCATATATCCGATACCGACTGGTGTAGGACACAACCTACCAAAGAATAATTAACGTATAAAAATCAATATCTAAATTCAAATTCAAAACAATGACAATAAATCAACCAAAGCTTAGAATAATAAAACCAAGTCCCTTAAATTGTAAAACCCTGCTAACCTCAAATGATGAAAAAACCCTTTTAATATATTTTTGAAGTTAATAAATAAATAAAAGATAAAATAGAGGACCTTTCAGAAACCCAAAAGGCTGAACTCGAATGTATACTATCAAGCTGGGTACATCCCCTAGATGGAGGGGGGCCTGGTCTAGGCTTTAGCTCAGGCCTGTACCCTAGGCCCATGAGATTTTTAAGACATCTTTTTTTTCTATGTATCAATCCAAGTAGATTTTTTTTTTTTTTTGCAATTTTGCTATACTTATTGAAAATGGTTGACAAATACTTTGACCGAACACTCACAATAGGGGAAGGGCCCACATTGTTTTGGAATTTTTTTATTCACGCGGGACCCGCACGCATGTGAGAGATTGTCAAACTCATTGTCGTCTATTTTCGGTACAAATGGAAAAACCTTTTTTTTTTTGTCTCCCCTCACTCCGCCTCTGGACCCATGGGCACCATACCCATCTTAATGCTGGCTTCTTGTCTTGTTCCCCCACGTCGAGCCAAGAACGCCTCTACAATATTCTTTACTCTGTCACTATTTATGTGCATATTTCCTTTACCAAAGGTTCTACATATCTTCATCAACAAGTAGGGATGATATCTGAACTAGAGATTATTCAAAGTATGTAAAATTAATTTATTTAAATATTAAAATAATTATCTATACACATTTATTTCTTGAACACATTTTTTTTTTTTTTTTTGGTAATAGACGTTAAATGTCAACAACTGAACAATCCCAACATTCCAACCTAATATACCAACTTAACATCCAAGTTGTTACCTATAAAATTACATATATGCCACTGTTTGACACGCATTCCTTAAAAATACATTCTTTCAAAACTCATTTCTAACCATACATTTTTTAATAAAATAATATTTTTATCACATCAATAACTTTTCCTTACTTTTTAATCATATATTTCCCGTTATATCACTATTTAAAATAGATTCTTTTTTCAATAATATTCATTAATCACACCTATATTGAAACTAGATGAATAGATTTGTGAGATTTTTCCTCTCTTTTTTTCCAATTGGGCACCTCTTCGGTTCTATCCCCTCCAGTTCTCCAAGATTTCCAATAAACTCGTGGGTTTTCANGCATTAATTGTGGGGTTCATTCAACAAATCCAATGGAATATACAAAAGAATAAATATGTTATGTAGCCACGAAATGGCTCTAAGGACATGGTCCAACTGGTTGGAAATTCATGTTAATAGGACCAAATCTCAATTGTTTTTCATAAGCATGTCACCTACTGACTAGAGGTACGAAAAAACACACAAATTCTTATTCCCAATAAATTTAGTGCTCGTTTATTGGAATATGATGACACCAGCAGCACAATCAGTAAACCAGCAGCCCAAACAGCAAACCAGCAACCATCTGACTTGGCATAAGCATTTCTGTAATTGCTCAGCTCAGTTGGTTATTTCTACTGAAGG